TGGATTCCCCAATACGAAAGGGTGGACAACCATTCAAGGGACATGGACAAACTCACTCTGTATCCAAATGTGCATACTATGCAACCTAAATAGTATGTGTGTCCCAAAGCATGAGATCGGCAAAGGATTTGGTTCAGAACTACAAACACGAATAAAAGGTGATAAAAAACTACAAACATGTTGAATGTGTGCGACCGATGGTTAAGTAGAGAGGTTTAGATAAAGGGGTTTAAGTAACTAATAATCATCATTTAACCTGGTAAAAAAAATACAATAATAATAATGTTATTCATGTTATTTTTCATCTGCAACAGCAATGTGAACTTTTATAAACATCCGTTTGGCCATTAACTTTTGAGTGCATCATTATGGAAAAAAAAAAAATATGAGCAGAGTTCTTCACATGAAAGACCCATGGTTGGCAGATCAGTAGATGTTTCTTTTCTCTCTGTTATGGTAGGAAGTTAAATGAAATGAAATGTGGAGGATCTTAACTGTGACAAGAGGATTGACAGGCCAGTTTACGGTGACAGGAAGTGTGTAACTGTGTGACAGAGCATCCGTTAAAGAAGCAACTGTATGACATGACAGTATCTCCCAATGCTTGCCTACTCTCCTGCTACACACTCAAAAGTGTGTACTTTTTCTTTGTAAAAACAGTATATACTTTAAGGGCGTAGTATACTGTAAGTAGTCAAATTGGGATGCAGCAAACCTCATGTGAGAGGAGATGACAGGCAAAAGTGAGACACTCAATCCTCAGTTAGCTCATCAGTGTGTGAGTTCCATAAAAAAGACGGGGTGTTAGACCCCAATCAACAGTTCTTTTTATGAGTTATGATTACGAACTCTCTCTTTACACACATATTTTGAGTGTGATTCATTGGCCAAATAAGAGAAAACAAAGTAAATTTGACTGATAGAATTTTTTTTACGTTTTCTGTAGATATAGTGAAAATATGTACTGAAATCTGGTATTGTGATAGTCGTACACCCTAGCACTCTGAGTCGAATTTTGCATTGAAAATCATTACTCATATTTTCATCAGAAAATAGAAAATGCAGTAAAATGAGCGCTGAAGTACGCTCTCTTTATTCTCTACTTCACAAAGATATGAAGTAGATTTCACATTTTTGAACTGCCTCAGTCATGAGAGAGCAAAGAAAAAATGAAATTCTTAGATGTCTTCCCTCCTTAACCCCTCCAAGCCGTAATGCTAGCGTCTCTTTAAAGTCCCCTTTTCATGTCTTGTGTGTGTGCATATTTATTATTTTGGAGTGAAATGTGCGTGCTTCACATATGGGGCATGTGCGTGTGTAGTGCGAGCTCACTGTAGCGTGAGGTCTAGCAGTCTGTTCGGTCAAAAGGTTTATAGCCTGATTATAGACTACGCCCCAGCGGTTCACAGAAAGAGATGGGGAAGGACAGTGAATGAGACAGGAAGCATAAACTGTTTGATGCATGAACACCCCTAGGTTAAGCGAAGAGCACCAGAATGCTGATAATGTTAATGATGATTATGATGATGATGATATGGGAGGTGATTTATAACAGTTATGATGAAGTCATAGATTTGAAACCGGACAGGCTAAGAATGCTGAGCAGCCGGGGGAAAGCAGCTGGCCAGACGCACAAATCAAAAACAGACCATGTGCTGTCCAGACACACTCCAGAAACACTTCAAACACTGAGGGCGAAATGAGAAAGAAAAAGAGGACAGGAGTGGGGGAAAAAGACAAAAAGCATGAGGGGTCAGTCTGAATGGGGTCAGTCGTTGCACTGCAGTCCAGTTTAACTGACACAGCCAGATGTACTTCCAGAAAACACACAGCTGTTGGTAGTACTGGTCTGTCCGGTTTATTGTTGAGGTTTCTCGTCTCGTCTCGTCTCGTCTCGTCTCGTCTCTTTTGCTATGATTTTGTCTTCTTTTCCACTTGTTTCTTCTCTTCTTTTGAGACCATGTTTAGTCTATCTCATTTCACCCCTTGTCTTCACCTCTCATCTCCTCATCTCACCTCATCTAATCCATTCTCTTCTCCTCTCTCTCTTCTAGTCTAATTTCATCTAATTTTGTTTAATTTCCTCTACTCTTCATATACATCCAATTTCATTGCATCTTGTCTTTTCTTCTCTTATTTCATCTTGTTGTCTAGCCTCGTTTCCTCTCCTCTCTTTTCATCCCCTTTCCTTTTCATCTCTTCTCATCTCAGCTTGTCTCATCTCTTGCCTTCTCAGCTTCTTCTCAGTCTTTTCCTATCATCTTGTCTCCTTTCCTCTGGTTTCTTCTCCTCTTCTTTTGTGACCATGTTTAGTCTCAACTCATCTCGTTTCACCTCATGTCTTCACCTCCCATTTCCACCTCCAATCATGTCTTTTCTTCTCTTTTCATCGTGTCTAGCCTAGTTTTCTCTCCTCTCTTTTCCTCTCCTTTCCTCTCATTTAAACTCCTTTTCTAGTCTTCTATCTTCTGGTCTTTTCATTTCCTGTTATTTTCTCATATTGTCTTTTGTCATCTCAGCTTGTCTCTTCTCAGTCTTTTCCTATCATCTTGTCTCCTTTCTTCTTGTTTCTTCTCCTCTTCTTCTGTGACCATGTTTAGTCTTGTCTCATCTCACCTCATGCCTTCACCTCCCATTTCCAATTTCCTTGCATCATGTCTTTTCTTCTATTTTCATCTTGCTGTCTTCTCGTCTTTTCATTTCCTGTTCTTTTCTCATATTGTCTTTTCTCATCTCAGTTCGTCTCATCTCTTCTGTTCGCAGCTTCTTCTCAGTCTTTTCCAAACATCTTGTCTCCTTTCCTCTTGTTTCACCTTTTCTTTTCTTATCTCAATCTTGTTTCATCGCTTCCTTTCTCATCTTGTCTCATATCTTTCTTGCTATGTCCTACTTTCCTTGGCTTATCTCATTTCTTCTCTTCTTCTCTTATTAATTTGGTTAATTTCCTTTTCTCCTAACATCTATTTTCCTTGCATCTCATCATTTTTCTTTTCTAATCTCCCCTCCTCTTCTCCCTTCTGCTCCCGTTTTCTTCTCCTCTCTTTTTATCTCTTCTTCTCTTTTCTCATACCATAGTTTTTCTTACATTTAATCTTTTCTCCTCTTATTTCATCTAGACAGCTTGTCTCCTCTTCTCTTGTTTCATTTAGTTTCCTATTTGTCTCTCATCTCATCTAATTCCATCCCTTCCTGTCTTGTCTTTCTTATTTAGCCTTTTTACAGTAATTCTCTTTTCATCTTTTAGTCTCCTCTCTTCTGACAATTGCCATTTTTCGTACCCAGTGTTGTTCCCTTGTTATGAAAAATGAATTCCCATGGTTCTCTCCCACTGTCGCTCTCTCTCTCTTTCTCTGCCTCTTTTACTGTCTGTCTGTCTCCGTGTCTCACCCTAACACTGCCATGTTTACCCGTTACCATGACTTCTATACAAGTGGATGAGTGTGTGCTTGTGTATGTTTGTTTACGTGGTGACAGGCTGTGATGGGGGGATGGATATGCATATGGTTGGTGTGTGGTCGCTGAAGAGATTTCATGCATGTGTGTTTGTGTGTGTGGATTTGGTGTCCTGTTTATCCACATAGAGACTTCTGGCAGCTCTTATCTGCCTCGGTCTCATGATGATGATGTAATGCTGGTGGGAATGGAAGGGGCGTGATGTAGGGCAGCAGTACAGCTGAACTGACACAGAACTTCAAATGTACAAACCTCATTAAATCACCCGGCTAAACACTGACAGTGCTGACACTCAGCCAGAAACTACGAGAGACACTGACTGTCCCATAGAATATTGATGGAGTTCTAAATGAAGGTCCAGCAGGAGCATGTTCATCTAATCCTGTCCATCTCAACACTAGCGTATACTGTATAAACAGCTGCTTACCAAATGTGTTTACCTTAAACCTCCTCAAGGATTATATGAAAACGTGAACTCATAACAAATGAGACACAGCTTCAAATGAACAGGAGTAAAAAAAAAATATCCCACCCACACATAAAGTATTTGTAAGTAAAGTAAAATGTATTTATCTAGGCTTATGTCTGTGTTCTTGAATATTTAGAGATTTGTGTTCAGGGACTTGACATTCAATTTTAATGGATCAAACCAAGATATCCAAAAAGTCAGTGATTTAGTCTTGATTAAACAGTGATTTCACCTTTTTTTTTGAATCAGTACTGATTGTTCTTATTCATTCCTGTATTAAAGACAAATCACAACTGACTTGTTTCTCGTGGATAACATTAAGATTGAATATTGAATGAATTTCAATATGAACTCAAAAATCTCACCTCATCTTTTCTTTTCTTTTCTTTTCTTTTCTTTTCTTTTCACTTCTCTTCTCAACTTTTTCTTTTTTCTTTTAATTTCTTTTCTTTTCTTCATCTCGTCTCGTCTCTTAATAATTTAATGTCTTCTCATCTTTTCTCTTTGTCTAGCCTCATCTAGTCTGTTCTCATCAAAATTAACTAACATGTTATGTAATCTCTTAACTACTCTTGTTGTCTCATCTCGTCTTGTTACTTCTATTTAAAATAAACTCAAACATTTCTCAAATATTTCATGTCTCTTCTTCTCATCTTGTCTCTTCTCTTTAAAATCAACTTAAGCATTTATTGTAGTCTATTTTTTCCTCATCTTTTATTCTTGACATCTCATCTAGTCTCTTCTGTTCAAATAGAGCTCAGATGTTTCATCTCTGTTCTTCTCTCATCTTTCATGTCTCTCTTCTTTCTCATCTTTCAACTTGAACGTTTGATGTAGTGTCTTCTCTTCTTATTTCTGTTTTCTTTTCATCTCGTCTCTTCTCCTCTTTTCAAAATCAACTTAAACATTTCATGTAGTGATCTTTTCTCTTTCCTTCTCATCTTGTCTCATCTCTTTTTCTCTCATAATTGGCATTTTCTTGAGAAAGTACTGTCCCCTTGCAGTAAAGCAGTGTAGTATTCTTCAGTTCTAAATCAGAATCTTTGAATAATTCGTTTTGTGTCTGTGTGTGCATCAGATCAAGGTTTATGCAGCAGCAGTGGCTTCTCAGGGAGGCTTTGGCCCTGCAGCATTCGTCTCGAGGGGAGATGAAGACTGTTAAGATCCAGTTAACTCACTTCCTGGAGACCTGGGAGAACAGCAAAGCACTGATACAGCAGAGTTGCATCAGTGCTGATGCAGGTAATTACACACACGCACACACATATGCACACAAAACCAATGCTTCTGTCCTCTGAACTCATTTGCTCCTATCTGATTTGTACATCTGTTACAGCTTATAGTACATGTGTATGTGCATGTGTATTACACACGTGCTCAGGCAGAATCTGAGCCTCGTGCACAGAGCATACTCCTACACACTGAGGATGACAATCATAATATATCTTGTCATGGTCTGAAATTAAAATAGGAACACATTCTCCCTCGGCCTCTGTGGGTGCGTGTCGGTGACTATGAGATGTAGGGCACACTCTACCTGCTGTGCTGAGATAAATGCAGTATAATGATAATAGGGGATGTGAGACATTTACTATAAGTGCTGGAAGAGAGGAAAATGTCAGTGGATGGCAGGGCTGATATATACCCCATAGTCATGTGTGGTGTTGGTAGTCTTGTGGGGGTGAAATTTCTTAAATTCACGAGGATTCTAAAACCCTTTATAGGGAAAAAAAGACCTTTATACTTTTATTTATAAAAATATATATTAAAAAATCTGTAAAAAGTCTTGCCTACCCCAACCTTTTAAATGCTATTGTGCATTGTCGAAGCATCCCCTCAAACTGATTCAGTTAACTTAATAATAAGTTTCTTCACATGAACAAATAACTAAATGTGTGTTTGAAGTTAAATGTTAGAGACAGAAGAAGGGTTAGGTTTAAGGTTAGGGTAAGGCATATTCTGATTTCTGTTATTCTCAAACTGCGGTGGTACATGGAGTGCCCCCAGGTGGTGTGTCATGTGATGGGAAATTTACAATAATAATAAATAAAAATGACATTTTATTAAATATAAATTCTATTTTTAGTGTTCCATGTATGCTGTATTATTTATTCTTTAAATATAATTTCAACAAAGCTTAAGTTAGCATTCAAGATCGTATACTAATGTTTAATAAACATTCTTCTGCATTATGGGATGCAAATAAGAATTTTTTTTTTTCCTCCCAGACTGTGAGCTGGTGCAGCCAGCAATCAAGGAATAAGGAATAAAAAAGCCATATTGACAATTAAAAGTATAATTCTGTACATTTTTATGAAATATTTCAAAATGGCTTGTTTTTACACTGAAGTCAGCGCTCAGTTTTGAGCATAATGTAATATGTCAATATTGTAACCAGAGCAGTTTCAAGCACTCTTACACAGATGGAAGAAGTTTTAAGTTAAAAATGTATTATTGCATTACATGTAGTTTTGTATTATTAATATTATTATTATTATTTATTATTATTATTATTTTAAACGTTTCATCATTCTAAGCGGCTGACTTTGCAGTTTTGGGGTGTTGAGGTACACAGCCACTTCAACGTGTCATATGAAAATGTGTTGTCTGTGTGGATGTACAGTATGACGCATAACTACATTGGCCGTTTTAGTGTAGACGGCTTTGTTGCTTATAATGTAAGCAATATAGTTTTGTGCAATCTTTGTTTTGCGTCATTATAAACAGACTAATATGTTGTTCTGAAAAATACTTGAAGACATTATCTTCAAACACAAAATGGGACACTACAATGCACATTTGCTACATGCTTAAATTCCTTCATTTGAATGGCAAAATGTGACTGAAAAAAAAAAACTGCAAAATGATTGTGGTTATTGCAATTAGATCAAATAACCACTGTCAGGCTATTAATTAATATGTGCAGGTCTATGTACGGTCAGATTTACCATTGCTTGGTGAAATTTTGCAAACAAAATTCAGTCATTATAACACAAATCCATGCGATCTGGAGTTTTGCGTGAGGGTGAAAAAGATCCCTGCGCAGATTTTGCTCATGTTCAATTTGGTCATGCAAATGTATTGCATTAACTAAGGCAAAGCTGCTTGGTTTGAAAGTGAATTCTGTTTGAGCTGTACTTCATGCATCACTAGACCTTTTTGCCTGTGTACATTCACCAAATGTAATGTGACCACACCTTAAGAGAGAGAATAGAGTGTTTCAGTGTGGGCAAGTATCAGTATTTTTCAGTTTTTTACAGACCGGCTCTATTGTGACTTGCATGTTTGTGCATATGTGTTTAGAGAGGTTTTGCATGTTTAAAGGCGTTTGTTCGGTTCATACATCAGCATGCAAATCACTTCATGCACTGATACTAACACATGCATACTTGTTGTGTGTTGTTCAACATAGTTTTGCAGATGATTTGGGTGCCGTAGGGTGAGTTAACCTTTCGCTCACCCCTGGGGTGTGTGCCTCCTCACCACAAACGTTTGGAACTGCCTTCCTTTTGCCTGTTGCACGTTCCATAAAGCTGCCAAATTCCAGCAAGTGTGTGCGTGCGTGTGTGTGTCATTGAGGGGTGAATGAGTACAAAAGGCTAGAATCCTTTGAACCAACGGACAGGTATTTTGTTTACAGTAGCCTAAGGTGTGTTTAGGCTTTGCTTTTCCTGCCTCCCCTACCTGTCTTTCAGCATACACGTGTAATGCATGCATATTTTTGTATATATGCTCTCCACTCAAGTTGGTTTGACAGAAAGCGCTCTTGAGGCTGTTTGTGCATGCAGGTTCTGCTTGTTTATGTGCAGAAATGTATGTGTGTGCGTGGGTAAGGGCCAAACCAATATGGGTGTGGGTGCAACAATTATGCGCTACTACCTGTCTGTCTGTTTTCCATGAGGGGGAGATGAGATGAGAGCAGAAAGGTATAAAAAGCGAGAGAAACAGAGGAAGACAGTCTGAAAAAAAGATGAATAGATTTGTATATCTTGTTTTCCACTGCTGCAAGCTTCATGCTAATCATTAGCTCATACTAGGAGTAGATTTGATCTTAGTAACGTTGGTGGGGGGATGTTATAAAAATATAATATTCAGAGGAAGTAGTTGAAGCTACATATTTAAGCAACATATGGGTCGATGGCATTACGTACATTTTTTTGGTCTGATTTATTGATTTATTCAAAAATACATTAAAACATTTTTTTTAAACCAAAATAAATTCAAATTAATTTCGATGTCAAGAAATAGTAAAAGTATTGTATTTAACACTAACTTTTAGCATCATTAACTGGTCAGGGATCACTAATATCCTTCATGGCACGACACATTGCCGAACGGTACTCTTGACCAAGAAGAACATAAAATGTCGAAGTGAGTATACTAAAATGAATTTGGATAGACCTGTGCAGTTTTGGAAGGATGTTTTATGGTGTAATAAGACCAAACTTGAACTTATGGTTACTACTTGGCTACTAGGGCTGTGCGATATTGAAGAAAAATGCGATATGCGATAACTCATTAAATAATGCGATATTCGATATGGGATACGATAATGCTTAAAGTGCCACATGCTCAGATTAAACAGTTTTACTCCGCTGTTGCTGAGTCAGTTCTGTGAACTTCTATAACTATCTTGTGTCATATATATATGGTTATTTGTATGTACAGGTGCATCTCAATAAATTAGAATGTCGTGGAAAAGTTCATTTATTTCAGTAATTCAACTCAAATTGTGAAACTCGTGTATTAAA